CAGTTCAGTTTGGGTTTTCAGCAGAAACGTCAACAAATATATCAATTTCTTCACAAAATTGTGAACGCACATGCGCCTCTCTCGACATGACAAGTGCCCCGCCGGGCATGCTCTGTACCCGGAGAATAAAAAGAAAAGAAAGTGAGTGGTGGGAGCGTCTCAATGTTATGAAAAATTCTGCACGCTATAATTCATGCTCTTCTCGAAATTGTGAGACAACACATAAGAGTAATGGTTGCCACTCATTTGTCAGATTTGTAGCCGTATTTGAATAAATTTGCATGGACGAGTATAAAGACGACCGTCGGTTCTAGACGTAGAAAAGTAAAAGGAGCACAGATACTTGAAGTTATGTTACTTTCATTTAATGAAATGCGGAGGCTTAATTGGAATTTCCGGACAACGAGATCTAAATTAAATTAAATTAAAACAAACTATTAGATTAAAACAATTATCTAATTGGGTCATAGATCAATAATTTTATTATTATTATTTTATTTTTCAGATCCGACTAAGACCACCAGCAAAGATTGAAAAAAATGGCTACCATGTTACAGGACACGCAAAATGAAATAGCAGATCGTTATTTGAACTGTACGATTTGTATGGAGCGATACAAAAACGCTAAAATTCTGCCATGTTATCATTCATTTTGCGAACCTTGTCTGATTACATATGTTGATGACGACCCAGTCTTTTCCTGTCCTCTCTGTAAGCATCAGTGCAAAATTCCCCCTGGGGGAGTCACTTCATTTCCGTCTTGTGCGCAAATCAATGGGATCATCGACATTATTGAAATGCGAGAAAAAGACAGCCAGAGCAGTTGTCCGGATAAAAAAACAGACTATTCCAAATGTGAAATTTGTCAGAAATGCAAACAGGAACACAGATGTGTGGACTGTGCTAGAAACATTTGCAAAACATGTGCTAGAGCGCATGCAAACATACCCGCCATTGCAGGCCATCGTGTGCTTGACCTCGAAGAGTATGATATAGTGAGAGATGAGAATGAAAGCCTGGTGCCTCCTGACATCACGTGTACTGTGCATGATGGAATGCCATTGGAATATTATTGCACGCAATGCTCAACACCTGTGTGTAGTGAGTGTAAAGACGAACATCATGCATCACAAGGACACGCATGTATTTCATTAAAGAAACAAGTGGAACATTTGCAAATGGAGGAAGTACGTTTAAAAGAAAGTGAAAATCAAGCTAGGCAAGCACTTTTCAGGTTAAAGCATCTGTCTGAAGATCAGAAACACCTGATTGCACAACAGAAGACGAGAACATGTATGGAAATTACCAAGAAATTGGATGACGAGGAGCAATCTCTCTTAGATGATTTCAACACAAAATGTAAGCTGGCTGAGACTGATGCTAAAATGAAAATAACAGACCTGCAATCAGAATATAAACATTTAAAATCACGTAGACGAGCAATCGAGGGGTTGTTACAATCAGGAGATAAACCAATAATGACGGACAATTTCAATTATCAACGTAGAGTACAGAAAATCTTTGAAGATGAAGAAGATACAGAAAACCAGCTTCCCTATTTTACATTGGGTGGTGTGATGCTGACTGGTCATTTGGGAGTTGTCAGCTACAACGATTTGCAAACTGACTTGGGCGAGGAAACATGTGTAGATCCCGGGGAACTGCATTTAGACACTGAGTTGCTACCAGAACTAATCAAGGCAGACGAAACGGTCCATATATATATTACAGAGGCGAAGCATAACAAGGGAAGGGTTGTAGTTTTGAAGAGCATGAAAGCCGAAGTGATTGAATTATCCGACTACAACATTACGAAAATGAAAATAAGTAGCTCATTTGAGACAAACGGCGAACACAGAAGATTAACTGGCGAGTTCAAATGTAGCTCTGAAGGCAGGCATCGACTGTCTGTGACCTTAGCTGGACGTCACATCCAGGGCTCACCTCATTGCATTGATGTCCATCCACGGTGGAGACAAACGGACCAAATCAACATCGTAGATGACGTCAATGTAGGTAGTGTAAACATCGATTACCAAGGTAACATTGTAATTACCGACCCCCGGAATCATAAAATTGTTATTTTAGACCGAAAAGGCGTGTATAAAGAAGATATCCAACTGGTTGGATTTGACAAACCGTTCTCGCCCATTGAAGTGGCAGTTACTAAGCATAATTCATACATTATAATTGATGATAGCAACCACCAAGTTGTTGTCTGTGACACCAGAGTCAGGTACTTTGGCCAGGATAAGCTGCACAACCCAAGTGCGATTGCATTAAACGAGAACAAGGGATTCATTTATGTAGCTGATCAAAGAAACATGGAAATATTTGCATATGCAAATGACGATCACATCAAGTCGGTTGTAGTATCAGATGACCAATCGAGTCACATCAAATCCCTGACTGTCAACAATAAAGGGAATGTGCTCGTTCACTACGGCGAGTCTCTGCGCACTTTTAGTCCAGAAGGCAACCATATTTTGATGCTTAACCTCAACGAATCGTACAACTCTATCGCAATAGATAGGCATAATAATATCTACGCAAGTGATCGGAATTGTCTGCGGAAGCTGAACTCTGATGGAAAGATACTGTGTGATATATACCGGGGTACGACATTTAGACCTCATCGTGTCACTGTGTCACGTGACGATCCGTGCAAGGTGTTTGTTACTGATTGGGTCATGTGGTCGTCAGTGATTGTATTCGAATAACTGGCAATGTATAATAATCACAATGTGTAATTGGTAAACGCTATGTTAACCACAAAAGCTGATTTACCTGACTTTCACACCCAATTGTTCAAATGGAAAATTATATCTCTCGGAACAAAAAGTGATGACATTGCATGTGTTCATTATGCACAGTAAAAAATTACACATCAGCTACAAATAATATACGACTAAGTAAAATATATAATAATTGGTCACATTTGCGTGACGTTAAAGTGCGCCGCACACGGTAGATTATGGAATGTTTTTTTTTTTCAGTTTCAGAGGATTTTTGACCTTTAATGTGCATTCCAACAGATAATTGATAAACTTTAGACTTACCAGAAGTTCATGCTCATTTTAGGGTGAATACACAAATAACAAAATGTTTATATCGTTTGTATTTATTAGTCTCTATATTGCCAAGAATTTGCAACTGCCAGTCCCAATCAATTCAACTTCATGAAATGTAGATGGTTTTGGATATATTTTGATAAAATTATCAAAGAACAATAGGAAAAAACATAAAAATTTGAAAAAAAAATTGCCAGTCCGTTTAGTGGGTGGACTGATGGCTGGCGAATACCCTGTTGTACATCGTATCTGTTTTCGTGACTCGAGTGAGATTTTTTTCTGCAGCTCGAGACGTTTCTTCTCCAGCTGGGGACTAATTTTCGAATTGATTGCGGTCTTGTGTGGCATGTTATCACAGATCCATCTAGTACATTGCAGGCTGACATCAAATATTTATTCCAAACAAGTCCACACTAGGTTGTTATTTTACAATAGACATGTTGCTCACCAGCACAGTAACATTTATTTGGAGTTACCTCGTTCTTACTCCATTTCATCTAAACTCGATATTCATTCTTAAAGCGAGGGAGTTGTCACCTGCGCATGCGCCAGATGGCCATAGCATGTCATTGTGTAGCGTCTTCCATGCGTTTTTAGCGTGTGTTATCGTCGCCTGGGACTTAAATCCCGCGCGTGCGCAGGTGACTACCCCTCCGCTTTAACACAACCTGACATTTTTGTATGATTTTCAAATGTGGTCATGATCATTTTTATAATAGAACTGTGATGGTACGTTATTGGACGGCATGGGTTAGTGTTTTACCAAAGTTTGTAGTACCAACTGCGTGGCGTGATCACTTTTACATGTCCATTTTATAGTACAAAGTGTGTCTTCACAGTTTACAGATTACAAACTATGTGCAAAATATATAATTCTTCCTTAATGCATGTAATGTAGTGTGGTATATAAAAAAATGATTGAATTGTTCGAGTTACATTTGTAAATTAAAGTTCGAGTTCAAAAAATACAAAAATGTATATTACCCGTAACTTCGCGGGAGTGCGTGGATACCTGTGACGTCATCGTAGCATGTACCAACTGGAGAGAAAAAATGTCAGGTTGGGATCTCTGGTTCTGGGTTTGTTTGCACATCTGTGCAGGATTGTGTATTTATAAAGAATAAGGTAGTACATGTATGATCGACTCAATAAGCGATCTGTTTTGCATATATTGATTAGAAACATCGGGTGTTGAATTCCGTGCGTATCATTAACGTTCTCGTGCCAGTGAGTCAGAGTAAGTTTTTCAACTGGAGATGGTGCAGTATAGAAGCTGCCACAAGAGGGCGTGGTGAACGACGGCGATGCGTAGCAGGCAGAGGCACTTGAATACTAGAAACCACAGTCCCTGTGTATGAACATAGGAGCTCGGTACGCAGTGCTGCAACACAAAAACGTGCATTGTGAGTGGTTTTCGAAAAATTAGTCGCGTCTACGCATATATGGTATTTAGGGTTATTAAAATCAAAAAACAAAACAAAATAAGGGAATATTTTTTTTCCAGCATTCAGAATTCCAGGGAATCCCATCGCAAATAGGTTTTGCTTCTGTTATTTTTGTACCGGGAATAGGTTATTTTTTGTAAATGTTTGTATGCATTTAGAGGAATTTAGATACTCCCCACTCTCTTTGGGGTCCGTAGCGAGTTGTATACCTCCATCCCCAGGCTTCTCTGCTAACAGATATGTCTACACCGAACTAAATGCTACACCACATTCCCCCTATCGCTCCTGGCGACTTTCATACCCCCATTCCCGTTCTAACAGGAATGTCGTTCGCTGGTACAGACCGTAAAAGCTGCAGTTGTGATATAGGGGTACACGTAAACGCAAACGATTCGTTGAATTTGATTGGTTAGTGCTATCAGTCTTGCAAACTCAATTTGAGGGTAAAGGTCAAACAAAGGTCATTGTTCGACAGTGAAAGATTGTGCTTTGTGGTTGCTGTTCCAATAATGAATTTCGCGTCAGTTCTCAGCGTGTTTCTTACGTTTGTGGCTGTTGGGAGGGCGAGAGATCCAACTGTTGAAACAACATCTGGTTTAGTGAGAGGCAGGGCGACGGAATTCAGTCACAAAGACACCGATGTCAGGCGTACAGTACACGTCTTCAAAGGTATACCGTACGCTGAACCACCGGTCGGTGACCTGAGGTTTGCACCGCCTAAACCCAAGACACCGTGGCAAGGGGAGTACGATGCTGCTGACTACGGGGCGTCCTGTCCGCAAATCACGATGGAAATTGTACCCCCGGAGAAACTGCAAGACGAAGATTGCTTATTCCTGAATGTATTCGTGCCTCAACCAAGAGTGAGTTAAACTGAAATGCTCTGCTGTTATGTGACCTTTTTTTTTTCTAAGTGACTGATTTCAAATCTATACTGAATACTCGGTAATTTACAATTATGCTAATGAACTGGTATACGTTAGTGCGCGAGATGTCGGGTAGAGGGGGAAGTGAAAAAAAATGTACAATACATATGCCGACCTGGCTCGCTATAATTCATTGAAATGTGAAGATACAAAATCATGAAACGATTTGCCACATGAAATTAAATCGTTTTTTTTCTTTGTTTTCATTTAAGAGAAGTGCAAGATATTTTTTTTAAAGTAAACATCTAAATTTTGATGTATTGAAAAAAAAAATAGTGAATGTGTTAATTGTAAAAAAGGTCTATTAATTTATAATATTTATATTTTTCATTAAAACGCGGTAGTCGTCGCGCTGCGCATGTGCGACATTTTTGTTGATAAACATTGATTTTCCCACAATCCAATGCGCTTTTCTAATGTGAATCACAAGTATGAGGGTTTTCCTTGGCGCGACTTGCACT